GACTAATTGTAATGCATATATCTCTTAATTAAAAGTGACAGTCGTCTGAGAGTTGAGAATGTGAAAAGAGACAATTATTGCATGATTTACTCAAATCAAACGTAGACTACACATGTTTGTGTGTTTGTGTTTGGTCCAAAAAAATTGTGCACCGACGCACCAAAAAAAAAAAAAGTTCGTGATTCCATACCTTCGTGGCTTGGTTCCACATGCCCTAGTCAAGATATTTATAATAAACTAAGTTTAATTCATTCCAATTTTTATAGTAATAGTTGAATTTGTGACCTCTTGAAGTGTAGCATCTTATTAATTCTATAGTTCACGTGTACTAGTTTAATTTAATTAATAACAAGAAGCAAATGTACATCTTATTAATTTTCTTCTTCCATATGGTTTGTGGCTATTACACATAAATAATGTTTACCTCATGTACACTCTCGGATAGTAGATGTGGGTTTCTCTCGTACGTCATTCAAAAAAAATAATAAGTATGCATAATATACTCTCCAAAAGAAATACGATTATCGAGTGAATAGAGTATAATTTTAACATAAATGTGATTTACCCACGAGTATGATTCCTTATAAAGAGTGACTATGAGTTTTTCTTGTCACCCAAAAGAATTAGCATGATACATACCTTTTTCAAGACTAATTATATATATATATATATATATATATATATATATATATATATATATATTGCAGTAATTGTAGAAAAAAGAGTTGATATTTTTGTCATGGGATATGATAATGGCGTGTATGAGAACAAAAATTAATTCTAAAAATTCCATATCGTCCAAGGAATCGTCATTATCTTGATAATAATAATAATAATAATTATTATTATTATTATTGGCATTGGGATTTGCATACTAAAGGCTAATAATCTCCACCTTCCCAAAACTCGCGGAGGCATTGACATTCTTTGGTCTACTCATCACCTCTCAAGTCTCTAACCTCGTATACTTATGTAAACTAGTAAATTTTCTGTGCAATGCATGGATAAAATTAAAATTTTTATTATATATTTAGATAATAAAATTAAAAATAAAATTATAAACAATTTTAATATTTAAAAGTGTATATTCATTTAATTATAAGATTAGTGTAAAAGTATCACTAATTAATTCAATAATATATAACACGATCGGTTGTCTGCAATTATCTTGAAAAAATCAATATTGTAAAGTTAACAAAAATTATACAATATTTTATAATTAACTACATCCTAATACTATTTTACTTTTACTTATACATACACGTTGGTTCAGTCTAGGCAGGTTTTGTATATAAAATTTGAATCTAATTAACTCGACCTCCATGAGTTTAATTTTGTTAAGACCCACCACTTACTATCACTCAAAAACTCGACCTATACAAGGTATACTAGAGTTGTTTGTCAATTACTTCTCTTGTTCTAAGATTACTTGAAGAGTTGGAGTATAGTATGTCTTTTTGCTTGTTCTTCTTCTTTCTTTATCCTATTAAGTACATACCTCCTCGCAACTTTCCTTGTCCATCTCATGTTGACTTCTCATTAACAGGCTATCAAGAACTTTATCGTAAAATTTATTGATGAGATTAGTCACTGTATTTAACAGTAAAAATTTTTGATATACCTAAAAATTAAAAGATATGTTATTATTATTATTCCGTTTTTTTTTTTTAATTAAATGTGTTCGATTGGATTGAGGTTACAAATCATTAACTCCTTCATGTGTCTTGCCGACAGTACTAACGTTATATGTATTTTTTGAATTTGAATTGTATGAGAAGCTAGGTTATAGAGTAATTGGGAATGGGTTGAACGGTCAAGATCAAGATGGTATGTTGTATGCCAAATTCCCTTCTATTGGTTGTATGTCACGTGCATACGTGATCCATTCACCTGCCACCTCTCAAGGAAAAATTTATTATTCTCATGTTCACTTCCACCCCCTACTACGCATTAAAAACCAAATACAAATTGAATTTTATGTATTCCTTATCAATATTAAAAATACTAAAATGTTTATTGATGTATTTCAACTTGAATTACAATGAAAAAAAATAATATTTCAATTACACATATTTTACTTATTTAATAGTTTAATTATTCACGTTTTAAATTCAGTGTTTCAATTATACAAAATTATAAGTTCAGTGACTTATTTAATATTATTTGCAAATGGGTTGACCTCAATACAAAGGAATTCAATTATCTTTGTTTTTATGCTCAACTAAAATTATTATCTGGAATACTTATTTTTAACTATAATAAATTCTATATACATTGATAACTCAGGGAAATTAAAGGACGTTGGAAATGGCCCTACATTATACATTCCAAAATCCTCCGGCACTTAAAAACAAAAACATTTGTCCAATCATTGATTTACTGAATGAAAAGTTTCATTTAAAATTTGTTGTGAATATCATTGTAGAAAATTAATTTTGACTACAAATATTGGAGGTAAAGGTTTTAGTTAGACTCATTGTTCGCATGAGTATACAGTCTTATATTGAGTCTCAAAGTTAAATTGACTCAATTTAGCTCTTCATGGATTGGATGAGGATTTATGGGTCCAAGATATTGTCAAATAAAATTATAAAACATTAGGTTATATTTATATTTATATTAATATATATAGATAAATAGTCTTAAAAGGATGAGTGGAACATAATTATTGTACTTTATCAACACTTACACCTTTCTTGTATAATCCGTGCATACATTTAGATCGTGAACTCGAGTTTTTTTCATTAAAAAAATATATATATTTCATCTAATAGACTAAAAACAAATATAATTTGTTTCCCCCAAATAGAAAACAAACATAATTTAAGAAATGAATTTCGATTGCCGCATTACCGGGAATGAATCCGGTTTGTCGGTGCCGACACTAATTCTCACCGACAGCCGACAGGGTTACCGGATGCCTCCGTGAAAGCAAAGGCCGAAACCAATTAAAGGCTTTGCCGGCGACAGCGCCCATTCTGGCTAGCTTCCGACCATCGGTGACACTAAAAACTTACCATAAAATAATTTCACATTTTGCATCCTAGACACCTCAGTTTTTATTTTATTATGATTTTTTTATTGTTTTGTTACAGAGTAGTTCGTGAGATGTACCATAAGATGATGACACCGACTTAAAAATCGAAAGTATTCCAATAAACATGCGACTGAGGATTTGAAAGCGATTCTTTCATCATATATGAGAGTTCTTACTTCTGCTTAACAACATAAAATAAAACAGGAAATGAAAAAATATCCTTTATAAGACACGATCATGCTAGTGACAACTAATTCTGATTAGGTGAATAAGGAATTGAGTAATTTTTTTCGTCTCGAGTTTTTTTGGGTTAAGATTCACTTCATAGAAGAATTTTTTTTAAATTATTATTTAGATCAAATAAAATATACTTTTTTAATTGAAAAAAAATGTATAAATAGAAATATTCCTTATTCTCATTTATTTATTTTTCCATTTATCAAAAAATAAAAATAAAAGAAATCCTCTGACTCTGAATGCTTCCCCTTACCTCATGAGTCATGGCTCATGGAGAGGAAACATCCCCATCTTCCAAACGCAATGAATTCGGCACATAAATTCTACGCCAAGTAAAATAAAGTAGCTAGTGAATTATCATTGTTATTCTCCTCAAATAAAAGTAATTTTATTTAATACTTTATCATAAATAGTAATACATTTTTCTAGCAATTCATTCCTTGAGTGACAAAGAAAACTCGTAATAATTATCTAAATGTATGTATTAAGTAAGTTTCACTCACGTACAATATCCGTGAATCATACTGAAAAAGTAAACCACATATTATGCAATAATTCAACTGATATTTTTTACAAATATCAAACTAGTAATATTCGATTATTCGGGTATGAGAATCTAGCAATTCTTTGAAGAATGGGCAAGTCAATCTTAGTTTTGGGCTGAGAATATAGCACAAATCGACTAACCCATAACATAGATGGCCCAGTCCACTAGAGGATTTTGCAACTGTGACTCTGAGCTTTGGACCAAAATTCTTATATATATATATATATATAGGGAAGGGTTCAAGTGCGAGAGGGGACTTCCCGTGCGCTTGTACGGTTGGACGCACATTAAGCATTAACTAACGAACTTTAAATACACAACACACCGCAAGCACACAAACAAAACACCTTCAGAACACAAACCCACGCACGTTAAGTACAAAACTTACGCATGTTAAGCACAAGCTTCACGCACCTTAAGCACAGAACGCAGACACCTTTTAAGTTTCAACAACTATTCACATTAAGCACAAACCCACGCACGTTAAGCACAAAACTCACGCACCTTAAGCAAAAAACTCACTCACTTAAGTTTCAACAACTCTCATTAAGCACAAACCCACGCACATTAAGCACAAACCTCACGTACATTAAGCACAAACCTCACGTACATTAAGCACAAGACTCACACACTTGAAGTACAAAACTGACGCACGTTAAAACCGTACAACCGCACGGGAAACACTTAAATGCACTGGAACTTAATTATATATATATATATATATATATATATATATATATATTTATTTATTTATTTATTTATTTATTTATTTATTTTCAGGCGAGAACATGTGAACTTCTTCAGTAATGTACGGAAATAGTAAATTTTACATGAATGCACAATAACTACTCCAGTTTCATGACTATTACATGAATGCATCATGACATTTTCAAATTTTCAATAATTATAAAATGAACTCGTATTTTTTATAATTATAAAATGAACATGTATTTTTTTACTAAACTCTCAACTATTAATAAATGAAATTAGTTCACTTTTAACAAGAGAACCCTTGATCATGTCATCTCTATATACATTGTTTTGATGCCACAAAGATTTAATTTTAATTTTATGCGATATAATATAGTTTAAATTGTGATATTATATTTAGCTATCTAATTAATCTATCACTTTAGAATTATTGTTTGTAATTTTCTTGACTTGCCATGTGCATGAAATCTCTTATAGGTGAACGTTTTTATGTTTCGACATGAGACACAACACATCGAACAAAGCATTATCTCTTTACAATCTGGGCAGCTTCTCACCCCCTCACTACAAAATAAAAAGAAATTATACACTCCAAAATTCAATCATCTTGGAGGCAAAGAATGCCTATACAACTATACATACATACACCACAGACAGACATATATATAGGCATCTCTCTTAGGTTGCAGGATTGTCCTGATCAATAATGTCTGTGAAAGAATATCCTTCATCTATATATGATCTATCTGGTGCCAAGTTCATCATTGGAAACAGATTTCGAAACGTCTAAATGATTGAGACGACACGTTCCCAGCAGGAACTCTGGCAGCTCTTCTGGTGTGTTACCCTGCAAAACATCAACCCCAGACTCGCCTCGATTAGCTTCATCCCCCGATCGAGATATGAATACCAATGCAGTATGCAAAAAAATGAAGAACAAGTTTCATTGTTGTAATTGAAGCATGCATATGCTCCATCTCAACTAAAAGCCTAAACTGATAGTTGGATTGCACATTAAAGGTTATATGCTTAACACGCCCCCTCACATGTGAGGTGAGTTCCAGCAACACGTGGACCGTAGTCGCTTATCAGGTGACGTAGAGATTGTGACGGCTCTGATACCAAATTGAAGCATGTGCTCCATCTCAACTAAAAGCCTAAGCTGATAGTTGGATTGCACATTAATGGTTATATGCTTAACAGTTGTTATTCCAGGACAGATTTACCTGTATTAAGAATGCCATTTCTATGACAAGGTTGTTCAAGTACCCCAAAACAAGGTTAACAACCCCCCTTGCAACTGTGGATGATCCAACATCAACATCAAGCTGTAAAGAAAGCCACAAACACAAAAGATTCACCGCAGATTCTTATGTAATATATAAACGTCGAACTATCTGTTTAGCCTTTTAGTTGAAACAGAACACATCTTTTCCGTTTCTTCTACCTCTAAGTAGTTCTTGCCCTTGAAATAGTTCACTTCAAGCGCCTGACCGATCAAGCAAGCCTTCTTACCAACGCTTTGTTTCACTATCCACGACCCCTGACGAAAACCACAAACTCAACAACCATATATCATCTTGCTAGAAGCTGATAGAATTGCAGGTTTTGGAGATATATACTGACCTTAGAAATGTATGGTATGAGCTTAAACCTCGAATTCCTAAATGCATCGTCTCCATTGACAAAACGCTCGAGCAAAGGAGTATCTTCCAAAGGAGCTTTCAACATATAATATAGAGCGAGGCTATATGTAGTTGATCCTGGAACCTGGCTTGCATCACACAAGTAGGCATCAGAGACTCAGAGTATATATTAATAGATTCGGGATAGTAAGGCAAGAAAAGCAGCAAAAATAACCTGAATGTTAACGATTAAAAAGAACTCCGGTCTATCATCAGCTGCATGTTTCTGCAAAATGCCAACAGAAATTTGAGTATGCAACGATTATTCATAATGAAGTGATAAACAGTACTATACCTGAACTATGCCTCCCGGGCGACCAGCAAGATCATCTTGGCGCCTGTCTGATTTTAGCCAATCTGCAGCAACCATTTGCATCAAAGTGTTTTTCGCCTTTATCTGGAAATGCAGCATTTTTAGCTATCGAGAAATCTCTTCCAATGATGCCATTACAGTTAAGACTTAGTAATTCAACCTTTTCGTGGTCTTTCTTATACTTCTTTCCTCGGATTAAGAAAGACGAAGGATCACCGCCTGCCCAACTGCAAGGCGTGCTATAGTTTGAGTCTTGTTGAAGAGTGCCTCCATAGCAGCATGGTTCGCTTTCTTCTGAGTCCACTTCTTGTAAGTCGACATAACCCTTTTTCTGAACTGCAATTTTCGGTTTTTATTCAGAACAAACATTCACAAATACCATTGTTATAAGGCAGGTATTAGACCCATCAAAACTAACCTGCAAGATCATGAAATTTTTTCATCAAAGTTGTAGCTGACGATATTTTTTGTTGGTTTGCATCCTTATAAAAACGGTGTCAAAAAGGTAACATTTTAAATAGGATAACATTGCATAAGAAAACTCAAAGCCTTAAGTATACGGAGTACCAAATTGAAGCATGTGCTCCATCTCAACTAAAAGTCTAAGCTGATAGTTGGATTGCACATTAATGGTTATATGCTCAACATACCACACAAAATTCTGGACTTGTAGCTGAAGACCACCCTTCTCCTTCTTCATCGTCATCATCTGAAGGCTCAAGAACATCATAAAACTCGTCACACGCTGATTCCAGTCCTACAAGACTTGAGGGCTCCGAAAGAAGCTCCTCCATTCCATCTTCACACCTTGTAGGATCAACTGCACCTTCTTCTCTTCGTTCCTCTTCACCAATAGGCGCTTCAATATCTATAGTCATTTCTGCTAATGAAAATGACAAGTTTGAAGAATGGTTTCCTTCTTTTGCTCTAAACATCTCTCTCAATGCTGAAACATATGGAAACAGGTATCACATCAAGTGAAAAATGTCCAGCTTCAAATTTGATTTTTGTCGTTGTTGAACACAATTCAAGGTTACCTGCAACTACCCCGAGCATGCGAATGGTTATGGATCTTGAACTTGCTTGCTTAAGATGGGATTTCCAGCATTTCCAATCAACCGCAAGCATGTGTTTCACAACAGATGCTTTGCCTAGTTTAATTGGAGTTATCACATGTCCACCGCCTAAACGATTTTAGAAGAACACAAATGTTCAAATTACTTGGGTCTTAAACAAGCTGTTAAAAACATAATCTTGGATTAAGGAGAACTAATGAAGGGCTAAAATTGCAAGAATTCATGAACTCCTTGCTGATGCACATGAGTGAAACTGATATAACCATGGTGGTAAGCAAAAGGAAGTTTACAATTTCCCAATCAAAGCGTACATTACTTTTAAGGCAAGCACGGATATAGTCCTTTTGCGGTGGACACTTTTGGTGGACAACAGAGTGGTAAAGAATTACTGCAGCAAAAACGCAAGGCAAAGTCAGTACTTAGAGACAATATGCTAAGACGGGTAACTTCATATTCACTTCTCTTATTGTATTACCATATGTGCCATCGTCCTCTCTTCTCCAGTATCGTCTCAGTAGCAGATCCCTTCTGTTCATCCCCCTGCAGGCAAATTAGTTGGTAAAACGAAGAAATAACTATTAGTTTAACACTTTGTAGTATCCACAAGCCTAACCATGGTAGCCAATGGTTGTATAGTTGAAGGTGAATAATATCTGTATGTCCATCAAGGTGCTCAATAACGCTGCCCCGATCAAAACAGAAGTCCCATCTGCACAAACCATCCAAATAAAAGAACTGTTTTCCCTTTTATCTTAGAAGAAGTACACTCCCGGGGCTTACTCTGATCTTGAGGGACCAAGAGACATTAGTGTTCTGAACACAGCTTCTGAAGTTTCATCGATTACTCCAACAGCCATAATTGATGAATGATCACGCCAATGCTGATGGCAGCAGCAACATATTTCATCAAGAAATGAATTTATACATAGAAATCAGAAAATTGAAGACAGGAGGACAGATCAACAAACCTTCCCGTTTGAATCTTTGTCTTTTCCTTCTTTGAATAGGCGCAAACCTGAACAAGCAACAACGATGACATAAATTGGTTTTCCTCCTAAAGAATACGAAGTTTAACTTCACGTTTATTTTGAACTTTCTCATTTCTCAGTGGTGTTTACTGTTTAGCACATATTTCTTACCATTTTGGCAGCCAAATATCTTCCATGGAGATGGAGCGATAACGTCAGATGTCAATTCATCCTCAGGTATTGACGATACAGAAATAAGGTCAACAGGTTTTTTATGTTTCCTCCTCTTTAAAACACTCAATCTGTGTCAATAATAACAATAGCAACAGTATGTTACCAAACCAAATGAAACATTTCCCAATCCCCCCAAGGCAACAGCCACGCAAAGAGCAAATTAACTAGAAATATGCAAAAACAACACTCAGTAGACAGACAGAAACATAATCATTAAAGAAAAAGGCAAAAATTACAAATCACATGTTCAATATTTACCTGAAAGGTTGCCACTTTCTTCTTGAAGACATTGAATTTTTTTCTGGGTTCACAGCAGCATCTTGTAAATTATGGATCCACCTACCAGCCTCTTCTGGACTGCTTGCCCCCAACTAGAAAATTTAAAATCAATGGCTTGTGATCAATGTAATGCCCTGAAAATTTGATATCTTTATCTTGCCCACAAAAGGCGAAATTCCCTCGCCCCCTGGCCCCCACACCCCGGCCCGACAGGGTAGTGGAGGGAGGGGTAATTTGATTTCTTTATCTTTATGGAAGAGGCTCATACCTTAAGCTGATCATTGTGGTTAGAAGCATTATACAAGGTGAAAACAAAGAACACCTGTAAGTTGCAACAACGATGTTGAAACCTTAGAAGCAGTATAATAGATTTTTTTTTTTTTTTTTTTTTTTTTTCTCTTTTTGTCTGTTTTTAACAATTAAAAATAGATAAATGTGTTCAGTTATGTACTTTTCTGTGGTAGCTTTCTCTTCCATTGTCTATGACACGGATGCAGGAGTCTATTATTGCACTTCTCACTGGCTCCTGACACAAATTGGTTTGAACTTTGAATATATTATCAGAAGTGTGAACCAATTAATGCAAATACCATATATACACCTGTCACCTAATTTTCTTCAGAAATGATATTAACACTAATGAAATAGCAACTTAAGGATCATAAACATGTAGATCTTATATTAGTAACACAAGTTTATTATATATTTTGTTAATTGAGAAGAAAAAACATAACATTTTATCTTAAAACTTCACTGTTAGAAACAAAGGTGTAACATCATTTGACACAGCTTTTCTGGTTAATAACTGAGAAAACAAAATACCAAAAGAAGAGAAAGAAATAGAGAGTCAGAACTCATTATTCACATAATGAAAACTGCAAAGCCAGACAAAAAGAGGAGAGAGAGAGAGAGAACACATTATTATGTACTCATCTGACAAACAAATGAAAAGCCAGAGAAAAATAAAGAAAACAGCCATTTAAACAAGGCAAACTCTGTAAGGAAGAAAGGTATTCACATTCTCAAGATGCATCTAAGTGGAATATGGAATCCAAAAGCCCATTTCCTTCACCAACTTCAGATAAATATCCAACAATCCGTACAATAAGATTCAAAGAAGAAACACAAAATGAAGGAACCTCAGCTAGGAGCTTTGCCACACAAAAAAATTCAACCATTGCCAATTACCAACAATGAAGCAAAAGCAGTATATAGAGTGCATTATCATTCATACGAGTTAGAAGACAAAAAATGAGAGAGAAAACATGCAAACAAATAAATGGAGACCAAAAAAAAAAAAAAAAAAAAAAACTAAATTTGTATACATATATATATATGTGTGTGTGCAATGTAATGCATGTTTTAAAGTACCTCTTTTCCAGAACTGGGGATTGATTTAAAGGTCTTAAGGCGGTTATCTTCAAGAATGAAATACCTCTTACGCGAATACTGCAGCCCAAACCTGTTCGAGCGTATGAGGTAAAGCCACCCTTCCATGTTCCTCTCCTGGACAGCCATACCCATGCATTAATTCCCAGATAATCACCAAAAGCTTCAACCTTTCTTCACCTTTTCTATACAAAACTCCAATTTACAACAAAAAACCGACCCTCCTCCTCCTCCGACTTCAATCTATTTCTACCAGACTCCAAAAGCCCACACCCAAAACTTCTCTTCTTTCTCCAGATTCCTCAACTTTCTCTTCTTTTCTTATCCTTACAGAATTTCAGCATCCAAACGCTGCATTAGAAAAGATGGAGAGTGGTTATGGAATTTGGGGGAAGATGGGTGTGATCCTCTGATCCCGAAACAGGGAGTCAGAGAATCAAAATGCACAATTTCAAAGATTTCTTATGTTTCCAGGCAAAGCGGAAATTTTCCCTCGTATATTCTCTTTCCTACGTTGTTCTCGCTGTTCTACATTGGTTTCATTTCCTGTCTTTCTTCTCTCATTTCAAATAACCGTTTCGGGCAGATTGAGACAGAGGGGGAAGGGGAAGTTGACAACCTTGTGATTTTACATATTTCTCCTCTCTCATTTACAGAGTATTTTAATTATTTTTTATTTCTCATATTTCATGCTATGTTTTTATTGGGAAAATGATGAAAAAAAAATCAATTATTCGTCCAGTTATTTTTTTATTTTTCTAATTTGTGACAATTATTGAACGTAAATATCTTTAATCAATAATAATAATAATAATAATAATAATAATAATAATAATAATAATAATAAAAGGGAAAATCTACAATATAATCTGTTTTAGTTCAAAACATAGTCTTGAATAGTCAAATTTGAAATCTTGTGATTACTAAATTAACTGTTTGGCCAACTTAATTTGGTTGTCCTGTTCAACCCTTGAAGTCTTGAACCCATTAGGTAAGGCAATCATAATTTCTGCCAAATTTATTCTAGAAATTAAATGATTAAACTCTGCAAGTGTGAATTGAGTCAATTTGTATTAGTATTACTATAGCGAAGATATTGAATATGTGCAAAAAAAAAAAAAAGTAATATTACATCCCCTCCTAAATTTACATTCCAATATTCACATATTTATTACATCTCCTCCTATATTCATTAGTTACTCATAAGTTGGTTTACCTCACAATAAGTAAAAAATAAATGTAATACTTAATAATAATCAAATATAAAAAAAAAAAAAAAAGAGTATTTAGGGGTAAATTTGAAAGAAAAAAATCATTTTTGGTTTTGAAAAGAGCCTAGCTAGGTTAATTTTCTTGTTGTTAACCATGCCTTGTAAGCTGCTGCTTCTTCTTCTTTTCATTTTTTTTAACCCTATAAAACCCATCATTGAACCATCAATATCAGAGAAGAATATAATAATCTCCAAAATCAAGTGTGAAATTTAAGGTATTTTCCAAATTGCCAAAGAAGAATATTCCAATTCCTTTCTACTTGTTAACTTGTGGTAAGCAACTTGTTAACTTGTGATAACGTCCTTTATTCTTACATTTCTTGAATTTATATATATAGCTATTTATTTTGTATGATTTTTGTTCAAAATAACATGTAATACAATATAATAATAATAATAATAATAATAATAATAATAATAATAATAATAATAATAATAATTTTAATTAATAAATATCCTACAAACACAATTATTTAAATTTCAATTATATAATCATAAGATTCAAAGATAACATTTATAAAATATGAATGAATACTTTCATTTAAGGAAAAATCCAGAATCGCTATCCAAAAGTGTATTTTGGCCGTCTAAGTTGTCGGGAGGGAGTTGAATTTGAAATTTTATTATCTTATGATCATCAAGCTAACAGTATGACTAACTCAACGAGGGATGCCCCAATACTTGTCATATATAGGGCATCTTTAATTCTTTATACACCTTTTTCCTAATCTTGATGTTTATGGACGCTTACTCTCCTAACTCCTAACCAGATGGTGTTTTATACGACTACTTTTATATGCAATAATTTATATAAGACTCAATTCGATTAGTGTGTGTGTGTGTTCTAATGAGGACCCCTCTCGCGTGAGAATTTGCGAACTTGTATATGAATGCGCACAATTTATTATGGACTAATTTTTGTGCATCTTTGTAGTAGATTGTATGCATTCATGTATATATAGGTTCATATGAATACATGCCTTATCATGTGAACTTGTGTACCTATCTTATTAACCAGGCCGCTTACCATCGGTTTTTTTTTTTTTTTTTTTTTTTTTAAATTTGTTTTGTTTTGTTAATTTCTTTCTTAAAGGACTAAAATAGTCTTCTTTCTACCCTCTGATCTAATAGCGATTTCTTTCTTGCCCTACGTATGATAGAATCTAGTGATCTACCTACCACCCACAAAACCTTATGAAATATGCTGCAATTTTGGGGAAGACAAAGCTAAGCAAAAGCATAAAACACGTAGCTCTTAGATTCCTTTAAATGTAGGTATAATTATTTATTGTTTTGTGGTCAGAAGTTTAGTTAGTCAAAGTGAGATTTGAGATCATATAATTTTCACAATACTTTTGGTAAGTAACACTGCTTGCGTACACGCATGCACTAAACACCGATAGAGTTGAAGGTTAGGCATACCCTACAACTTCCCAATATTATGTAATATGGGCAATAGTTTCGTATAATGAATAATGGATGGTGACACTATCATTCACCTAAATTTTGTCTCGTTTAATGTTCAATCACATTTTAGTATTCATTCAATTTTTCCTAGTTTAATCATTTTTAAAAACCGTTATTGCACATGGCACAGAGGTGCATAGCTAAATGACAAGTTAATTAAGAAAATATTAATACTTTGATTTATAAGAGAAAATATTAATACTTTGATTTAGACAGCTCAAACTAGGAGCTGAACTTGAAACCCTGTAGTTACCAAACAGTACTAACTTGACATTAAAAAGGAATTGTTGATATGCAAACCTAAGTGATGTTGTATTTATGTTGAAACGTGAGCGTTTGGTTGTGAATTCTTTGTCCTGACTGCAAAATACATGTAAAAATTTCATAATGTCTCGTTCTAGTGAACAAATTGCGGATTTTCTCGAGTTTCATTCTACAAGGGGATGGAGAGACCAAAAATTCATCTACTTCACAAATCACAACATCTTCTTCTACCTTGATTAGTGGAAGTTCCAACTGCACTAGCAAATGAATCTCTGTAAATTAAGCAAGCGGAAAATGAGAAATAGGCATTATTTTAAAGAGCAGCATTGCAAATACCGTCATACTATCAAGGTTTTATAAGTGGACCTCCTGAGAGTCGTTACTGTCATGTTTGCTTGAATTTTCGAATTGAGAGATCCATTTGCAGGTAAGTGGTGCAAGCAACAAAGAAGAGGAAAAAGGCACCAATCAACATCAGTGGCTCGGCAAGCATGAAAATTGGATTGAACTGGTAGTAAACCTGCAGGAATTGCCAATGAGTTCTTTAGAAGCTTGAAAATAGCCACATGAATAAGGCAAGGCGTAAATGGAAAAGTTTCATTGTAGTGCATTAGTGTTATTCTTTCCAACATATGGTGGAGGGATCAACATATGATGGCTCCGACTAACAGAGTGAGTCTTTATCATTAACTTTATCCATTTAAGAAGTAAAATGAACCAAATTGACAAAATTCATATAATATAGGCTCCTCTTAAGTACTATGACCAAAAAAGAAACATTGAAGATCACCTGGAAAGGATGGTTGTGCTCAGGAACTACATTTTTCTTTTCCAGGACTATCACAGTCCTTCCTACAACATCAAGGTATGAGTACTTCTTCTGCAAAGATCCAAATAAGAGCAATTCAGTTAAAGAGTATAATGTGAATGAATCTAAAAGGCAATTGCCGATAATGACTAGATTGAGAGATGGGGGGGAAAAGGAAAGGGAAAACCAATATGCAATCCTTTGTTAAACTAAGTAGTAACCATATTTTTATCTCAAACTCAAATGATGTATTCTTTTAAGGCTAGTAGTTAAATGATTTAAGGCTAGAAAATAAAATCATTCAGCCCATCTACTGTAAGCATGAGGAAAGGCCATTTCACAGGTTTGGTTATTATCTAGTCTCCTCCTCACTATTTTTAGATCAGTAACACACTTCACACTTGAAACAAAAGGAATCACTAAAAAGGACAAATAACATGTTATCCTGAGAAACCTTGCTTCAACAACAGTGGTCGAATTGACCTCTGTTAGCAAGAAAACAAATACACGGAAATCAGTTAAATACAGCTACCTCTAATCTCTGTTCAAAAGGAAAAGGAACCACAGCAGATGGGTTCTTGGAACCCTCTGGCAGGACCACCTGAAATACACATGCACTGCATCATTAACAGTACATCTGCAGAAGACTATGAAAAACTGGAGCAAAAAGTCAAAACTGCATATTTAAGCAGATTAGATTATCAGAAAACCCACCTTGATTGTCAGCTTATCAACAACAGTCTCAGCAAGAGGGCACCCAAAACTATAATTTAGGTAGCGATCACCATTAGTGGATTCATAAAGAAAATCATTCAATGGAACCCCATATCCAATGACAAAGGTGGCTTTCCAGCCTCCAAATAACGGGTATCGTGGCTCAATTAAGAGCTCGGACTGCAAAAGGAAATGGAGATTGTAAATTAGAGGGATATTTTTTCTCATGAATTTTCTCTTTTCCTAATCGCCCCTTTAAAAAGGACCAAGAAAGTGTTTTAAAGTGACAAGTATAGATGATTTGTGGGTGTTAAATAAATTACAATGACAGGGTTAAATTTATCCTCTCCTCATGATTTAGTGCAAGGCATCTCATTACTTGAACAGCTCCAACAGTATTTAGATGGTTTACTACTATGTTAACCATCTAAAAGAGAATCTAGAGAAGATGAAAATAACAGGCAAATTGTATAAATAACACATGCATGGCAAGCATTCGCCAAAAAATACTCAGTTTTATTTTACCATAAGAATAATAAGGGCTAGAGATGGAGAGCAACATGGGAGATACCTTCTTCGCACTTGTACGTAAACGAGAGGATGAAATGTTCCCTATGTTATCCCTGTAGTACACTGAGTGAACTCTTGGGGGTAATTCGGCAAGGATGTGCTTGAATGATGAGACACCAGTCAAAGATGGCTTAGTCTGGTAGTCAACCCTGTCAGCAAGTATATGAACATGAAAAAAGAAAGATACACAATTTACACATCTTACAAATTTAGCCTTTTCAAAAACAAAATCATTAAGAAAGGGCAGGAAACATGCATTTTGTTACTAATGCATAAAGGACTGAACCTCCTCTTCTTTTATTTATTTATTTATTAAGGTTTTATTATCATTATTAAATGTTTAAATTATGACCTATCCTGATGGATAATAATTTGCAGAAAATTTCAGTGCAGCTGCAATATAATTTAAATTTTACATGATTGTGCGGGTCAGAAACATCAGAGGATTAGTACGATAAATCGATAATGATGCATATAAGCTAACCTTGAGAAAACACCTTTGTGCTGAGCACCAG